TTCCCAGCAGCAAGCACGGGGCCGCCTCACCAGGGGAGGAAGGGTCACACTGGGATTGTCGCTACTGCTCTGCTGCCACCAGCGCCGACATCTCCGTTGTTTATGGTTCCCAAACAATTTGGGAGACAGCGCTGAGAGGAAATTTGCCAGCAGAGTCATAAATAATTGAGCGCTGCAGTTGAGCAGGCCGGGAGAGAGCGGGGAGGGCTTAACAGCCGAGCTAACGCAAAGCAAAGCCAGCGCCGTGCTGAGAGCTGCGGCGCTGAGCGCCGCTGGGGCTTCGTCCTCGCCGGCAGCGCGTCAGCCCACGTGGGCAACACCTTCCCCAAAGAGGGCTGCTTTTGGCTCCGTCCTTCCTCTCCCATGCGCCAAGCACTGTTCCTTGGGGGCTTCATACCCCGTGAGGCAAACTCCTGCCCCGCCGCCCCAAGGAACTCAAGGGGGGGGGGGAAAAAAAACCACATTCGAAAAAAAACCACATTCGCTTAGGAAAAAGAGATTTTAAAAAGCAAATTTAAATCTCGGGCCAAATTTGGGTTGCTAGAGCCGGAAGCGCCAGGCGCCAGCACCGCGCGCTGCCCTCGCCCCAGGGGCACGGCGAGGCTCCAGGCAGCGCGCTCGGCCCAGGTTCCTGCCGCGCACCTCGGCGGTTTTCAGCAGTACTTGGAAGGCCAAAACGGAGCGAACGCTACCTATCAGCTCATGTCAAATTCACACAGAGCTTCTCCTTTGGTTTTATTACATTTGCTGCTATTTGTATTTATAGGCTAAGAAGTTTTCCTCGAGTTTCAGGCTTGAGACCCAAACGCGCACGCAGGAAGCAGGGCCGCTGGGTTTCGCCGGGAGGAGACGGCCCTGCGTTCGCTCCGAGGCTCCTTGCCGAGACCGTCCCGAGCCTGTTCGGGTGGCGAAACCCAGAGCCGAGCTAACTGGGTGCGACGCGTGTGCCGGTGAACATTGCGTGGGCACAACTCTTAAAAACACAGGTGAGAAGGGGAAAGAAAGAAACGGATCTGCTGCAGCAAAGGGGACTTTTTTCATCTCAGAGCGTCAAAAAGAGTTACAGAAGGCGCAGCGGAGGGGAGAAGCAAAGAGCCCAAAATAACTGTCAGCAGAAACACGGCCCAAGGGATATAGGGGATGGCTGTACCTGTCTCAGCAGAAAAAAAACAGCAGGAAGGAGACGACGTCTGTGGACTCCCAGTAGCTCGCGTGGAAGAGGTGCGGCAAGGCGACCGTCGGAAAAGCCGTCAGAGCGTCGGGACAGTAAAGAGCGTAGTCGATCCTCTTGGTTCCCCACCATTTGGCAGCAACTAGAAGAAAAAGACTTGTTCAAAGAGGGCTCGCCTGCCCGTGCCGCCTCGGTCACGAATGGCACTTCAAGGCACTGGCTCCTCGCTCCAGGCGCGCTGGGAAGCTGCTCCCCGGCTGGTAAGACAGGACAGAGCGGAGCCAGGGCTCAGTGCTGGCTCGGACCCAGCGAGGAACATGCAGCGGCACCAGCCCCAGCACCTTTATTTAAGCAGACAGCAAGGCGCCAGAGGGCAGGTATTAACTGGCCGTTAATCCAGAGCCCAGGGAAGGAGCCCAAGGCTCGCACCGCGACCCTGGGCATCCACATGCCGAACAGGATGGAAACGCCTCTCCCTGGAGCTGCGGGAGGTGCCCAGACCAGCTCCAGCCCCCACCGCCGCCTCCTTTGACTTTCACCAAGGAATAACAACTCTTTGGCATCCAGGTGTTGGCCGCACCGTACAGGATCTGAATCCTGGGAGCCCACGTGTGACGTTACGAGGCACC